TGTATGAAACAGCGGTATAAAAAATAAAGCTAGATGTATTTTCTTCGAAAATTGTCAAACATTATTGTAAAAATACAATATTGAATATTTTGTCTTAAATAAAATCTGTTCAAAAGATTTAGATCTTTTAAAAAGGTCAGGTAAATGTTTTTTCAAAAACGAGTAGCTTTAGATTAATTTCGTCTTGAAGTAAATACAAAATATAAAAATATATCCTGAAAACAGTTATAATTGCTTTCCTTTTTTGACGTTTTTGAGTGAGTTTCAGGAGATGGCTGAAGTAATACGTAGGAAGATAAAATATACAATATTATAATTTTACGGGATAGATATAAATAAATACATGCTGTATGTGCTGTAGCACTACTAAATGTGAAATGTTTATTTGTGTCCAGTGATTCAGGTTAGGTTAGTTTCTTAACATTTGCTTCTTCACAATATGTTAAAGTAATTGCGAATATAGAGGTCATACTTCAGGAGGGGAATGCGTGGATAGAGTACACGTGATTCTTGCTAAAACTTTGAATTTGAATAAAGTAAATACTCACAAGCTGATGTTAACGAAGCCTTGCTTAAAAATAGAATCACGAACATTAATAACTTGTTCATTTTTCTTCCTGGCGGTGTTACTTTATCGATCCACAGGAAACTTAGCACTCGTATTTTCAACAATCAATAATGTAAATGCAGTAAGATATGTATCGAGAATATCTTATTGATGGATCAATTAACCTGAAAGAAAAAATTCCATTACCTGGTAAACATCATAATCATAGAAAAATATTATTTCAATTCTGTGAAACATTTATAGGTTCTCTGAAAACTTGCATTTGTAGTGTTTCAAGAATTCAAGAATCAAACAAAAGGGCATTCAAAGTATTACCTTCCTTTCAATACCTGGTGAGATATACCGTTCCTTCAAAACTGATGAACAGCAAATGAAGGCAAGAGAAGCAATACGCGCGCATTTCCTGTTGCCCAGTTGCCGACCTTCCCCCTCCCTGGTGCAATAAACAGCTGAAAGTAAGACCTCGCAGCGAGCTCTAATGGTGGCGATCTAAACAGAAACGATTTGCCAGCGAAAAGGAGAACTCTTCTTTGTGTTTTTTTCTCAAAAAACGAAACAGATTCAAGTACTTTACAAGAGACACCTCGCACTTCTGAGAGTGTTAGGAGATCTTACAATTGAGGCAAACGCGAAGTTAGTGAGGAAGTTGTGATAACATGCGAGTTGGAAAAACGGAACAAAGTTTTGATGTATTCTCTAAGGAATGCTTTGGACCGGGTTTCTGCTTGCACAGGAGCAAGTATTTTGACGATGTGCAGAATGAAGATTAAAAGAGAGAATAGTTGTAATTCTTTAAATTCTCCATAAATTCCTGGTAAAAAATTGAATTGAATTGACGCCTTGTTTTACGTGACGAGACTTAGGCATGAGGCCCGCTCTTCCGTCTGACCACGCAAATTTCACCAACTAGAAGAGAAAGGAGGTATTTCTTCGGCGGCGAAATAGGCGATTTGTATTTAGCTCAGAGGTTTCATTTAAGTTTGAGGATCTTTTACATGAAAGTAAATCTACTAACATGGTACAGCCGGCTTCACTTTCCCTTCGAATTCAGGTGAACAAAGGATGTTCTCACCCTTAAAAATCCACGGCTTCGATTGGGTTTGAACCCACAAACTTGGGTACAACAATCCTTTTTGCTAATCGTTATACGATCGCCATTACAAAAAATTCACATTCAAAATGACAGATTTATCTCACTCGATGTAACTATATAGTTTTCACATGTACAGTAACTTGAAGCAGATCTGGGAGTTCAAGGTTGATTTATAGTATTTTAAGTCTTTATAGTATGTCTTGTTAGCTACTGCTTTGTCTCGCACTTAAGAATGGAAATCTACTGTCCGGCGGTAGCGGCTTGTGTTTAGGTTGCACAGCCCCCGGATCTAACCGAAAAAGATCTCTTAATATCTCAGGAGCATTCATTTTCCTTTTAATGACATTCAATATTCAAGCTATTGCATAAATATTGATGTAAATGAAATCGTTTTGAAACCAAAGAGCGCCCAACTGCCACTCTCTCCGTGCCTGGTGCCTTGCCGGGTATTGCATCAAGCTCTTGGATCTTGCTTGTATTACTGGGTTTGCTGCATTTACTCGTAGGCCCTTTCGATTTAAATGGGCAACATAGGGCCTTTTGGTTGGGCAATACGGATGGCGCTGTCTAGCGCTGCGTGGCGACTGAGGGAGTCTCAGGGGAATTCCAAAATTCTCTCTTCGTCTGACTCACAGCAAGATAATTTTATGAATTTCGCTTGTTATTGAAGGTACACAAGATCAGTCAATTATTGACGATATTTAATGCATTGTTTATGATATATAGAATGTTTGTTTTCATTTGATATTAGATTTACTGATTTAAAATGTACACTTGATGAATTATTGTGTAAAGTTGGCCGATTTGGAAGAAACTCTCTTTCTCGGTAGATGCAACAGGCTGCAGTTATACCACAGAGAGCGCTGGTGGAATATGAGCGTGTGTATGAAAGGATCTTTGTTACAAAATACACCAGGCTAGGGATATTTTCGAAACGAAAAAATTTCATTTGTGCAATTGTGCTTGTTGCGATGTGTGCTGGAGGCGAACTTCAGTAGAAATGAAAGCCACGAGCGCGGGAGGTGTATAATAGACTTGACTCGGTGACGACGCATAAAATTATCTAATGATTCAATATAGACTTTTAACTTAGTTTGAGTTCAATTGAATTGCTTACATTTTTATTAAATATTAGTGTTTTGAATTTTTGAAATTACATTTCCGTCATTCGATATAGGTGTAGTCTGTTTGGCCCCAGCAGCCACTGCTGGCCGGTGCGGAAGGGCATTCTTTCCAAGAGCTTCTATCGATTCCATGTGATATTTTTAGAAATTTCTTCCATTGAGAACGTCTGTCTTTGTGTATTAGCGCGGCTAATATATTCATCTTGTACAGCGGCAGTCAGACAATTGATTTCATATTGCTCTCTTTGCTAATAGAAATATTTGCACAGCCATCTGTTTTTGTGAACACATATAAGTGTAGAATTTATTTCATGTGACAAATAAAATTGTCACATTAGATAACATTTATTTTGGGGGAAAAAAATAGTTACGTTCTTTCTGTCCCTACTCTCGTATTTGTACTAGTAACAGATTACGTTTGATTACCAATTGTTGTTTGTGCATTAATGTTTACGCACAGTTAATTTACGGGCTTTCTACTTAAATTTTATTGTTATAAGTGTTAATTTATTTCTTGTGGTCTGAATTATTGTATAATGAGAAACTTAGAATTCAATTACATTAGTTTCCGTGCATGACTTTGTTTTTACTTTCTCGTTGCTGCTTACGCAGAATAGAGAAAGTATTATAATGCAAGGGGAAATCGGCGTCCTTGTCTAGGTGGTTGCGGGGAAGCCCCGCCAGTAGGTGGTAGGTCGGCGCCGGATCCCGCCGTGCAGCGGATCGTCGCCATCTCCCGAGGAGGAGTCACTAACAACTAGCCATCCTGGCGTAGACGAACTCCTTCTGTCTCGCGTCGAAGGAGATTTCGCATCATGTCGTTTCGTGATTCATTGCCAGAGAAAATTTCACCTGTGACGGATGTTTCATTGGCAAGAGATGAACCAACAGGACCATAGTTTTCAGGTCTACGTGTTCATGTGGATAGTTCGATCGAAGAACATACTCCGCATTTCCGTGAATATCAGCAAGTTGTTCTGTTGTGAATTTTCCACTTCTGAGTATGTATAGTCGTCGTCTGGCAAGCTTCTTTGAATCTAGCGTAGGCCTCATATCAGGATTCCTCTCTCTTCATATCTTTAAACTTGCTATTTCCGATCTCCATTTTTTTGCTTTTGCGTAGTGAAAGCACCACGTCACGTCCTTCGATTCATCCCGTGTCCACCTCTGAGAATAGTTTCGAGCTACTGCCGACTCTGTGTCCCTGGGACTAACATCCATGGGATAGCCAGACGCCGACGAGATGACATTAGCTTGGTTTTTGAGCGGTATGGAACATTGGTAGAACAAGGCACGTTAAGATTTATTACATTTCTTGTTTTATATATTTTGCTCATTGGTTTTAAGTGAAGTTTCGCTGGAATGGAGTTCACAGACCACATTTAATCCATTGTGTTATTTCCTGTCATCCGTTACTGCGACTCGCAGTGGCCACGGGAATCCCCCTGCAAGGCCCAGCAAGGGATCCTTCTGATCGCCAGTCGACTGTACTAAACCCTACGGGATTTTCATTGTGCGCTGAGGACAGCATCTTTCGCTGGCTAATGCCAGGTTCGGGCCTCGACTCCAATCAGTTGCCTGGTGCGACTACCAAGTTTCTGTCCTGTACCCTCCATGTTCCGATAGCAAGTCCATGACCCTTTCCTCTTTACTTACTTTCTGATGTGTATACAGTCGCCTCTAACATGGACACAGATGCTGTTTGCTGGCGCCCGATGCGGATCAGATGCTGCGTTTGTTTGCGGTACCTCTTCCGCCATCTTCAATTATCCTTTCTTCTTCGAAGATGCCTTTGAGGCTCTCCTCTGGAGTACTTCTTCGCCTAACCCCTCGCATTCAACCTATGCAGCAGGCCCTACCAGAAGCTAGGCTACCAGCGAAATAGCTCTCAGGCACATGAGGGTACGCAAGCTACACTATCAACTATAAGGTCGTGTACTTCCTAGGTGGAGTTGTTGGTGTTATTATGTTTATTATTATTATTATTATTATTATTATTATTATTATTATTATTATTATTATATACTTACCATTAAACTCTAAATTATTAAATGCACTATTATAGAAAACTTTTATTGTTTTCATAACTAAAATATACAAAGAGCAATTGTTGTTTAATTTCAAATACACTACATACATATTTCTTACATGCAACAAAATACAAAAATATTTATAATATTACAAAATTGTTGAATTAATTTTTATCAATTCAAAATCAGTTTGCTAAACTTAAAAGTAAAGCCGTTCCACGTTTTATCCAATGATCTGGTTTTTCATTTCCACACTTCAAATCCACGGCCACAACATATGAAGGTCTACTTCCAGAGCCTGATCGTATTGGATAATAGTAGCAAGGACTAACATAAATACCTGTTCAAAAAAAGAAAAGAAAATGCAATTATGTTTTTACTACATAACATTTCAAGAGAAATTATTTTTAAAAATTTAACATTTAATTATCAATGTATCTAATAAAGCAGTAATTTTACTTTAAAATGAACAAGGCATGAGGTTTAAAGTCGGATCTGAAAGTATACAATGTTCTATTTCATCATGAAAAAATATGCATTCAGTGTTTTATAATGTTCATAACAAAATAATAATATTTATTATAAATTCAATGTTCATAGAAGTTATTAAATGTTAAAATTAAAAAATTCAATTATTAAATAACTACTAAATACCGAGTATTTACCTCTAGTTTTCTTCTTCAAGTTTTCCACCGGCTTGAAATGTATTACAGGCATGGTACACACTAGTTGCATAGGTTGTGGCTCGGTCAAGATCATCAGCTTTCTGTCCCAACCCGCCCCTTCAAGAAAAGTCCCACGAACGAATATCCCTTCCTGCACAAAACAAAGTATTCAATTCAAACATGGGTGTATAAATATTATATGAAAAAATGAATTTTCAGATAAATTGCAATTGCATAAATAGATATTACGCAATGTCACTTTGGTAAATATTAATATTTGGTCTAGTATTATTCATCTTCACTTTCAAATGCTAACAAGGTCATGTCATAGTTATTTCATCAGCATTGTAAAAACAATACAACGTTGAAAACAGTTGAACCACAGAAAATGTCGCTAACTATGTTGCACTTTTAATTGTTTTTTTTAGAATATTTATCATTTGTAATTTTAAAAACTGTCACATTTACCAGATATGTTTCCAACTTGTGAGCTCTTTGTATGTTGGCAAATAGTTAAATATATATAACTGCAGGGCTCTAGTTTGTAATTATACAAATAGTATTTTCCTTCTAGAACGACGTGACACTATTAAAAATTGTAAATGTACAAAAATACAAATACAAATTTTCCATAATTTATTGCATTGAAGCACATACGTTTTAGATTCGTAGCATTCCGTATTCATACTGGTATAATACTGTTTATATTGGTAATACATACTGTACTATATATCTCACATTTACATGTAATTTTTTATAATTTTTTACTTACTCATTTCATCTTTTACACATTATTTTGCACTGAAGTGAAAGTGGTGGTTTGCTCATTTGTATTTATAAATACGTTCTTTTTTTGTTGATAAAAGAAAAAATTTATCTGATTCTAGAAAAAAGTGAACTTAAAAAAAGTGCCCAGAATAGAGTGGTGTTCAACTTCATATTAATTAGTTTTACTACATTATTCTTACATGCACTAATCGCTCTTAATGTGTTTGAATGTTGTTTTTTATTTTAATAGTACTTTCTTGGAATGTTCGTAGTAAAACTTTAAGGATGTTTTATGAAATATTCATTTAATAAACTAGTAAAACATTTTTTCACAATTTTAAGGAAGTTTAAATAATAATGATTCACCAAATACTTACATCCGGCCTCTCCAATATTTGTCGTTCATCAAGGGCAAATATTTTAAAATCCCATGAAAGTAAATCAATTGATATTTCATTTTTCCTGGCTGACGTCTAAAACAAAGATTAAGAAGTTATGAATGTATCTTTGTTGAAGTAAAATGTATGCGGTGAACACAAACAAATAATATAAAATTAGAGATATTTACACCACTCAAGTGTAAAGATAATGTACAAGAATAACATCGATATTTTACTTAATAGAGTAAAATCTGTCTAATCCAGAACATGTACAAGTCGGAAATTTGCCTTATCCGGAAAAAGGTCTGTGAAGTTAAATGGAATTTTACACAGCATAAAACAGAATCTGCCCAACACGGAAACGGAATTGTTTTTCATGACCTGCAGGGAAATCCTTCATGAAACTGAATTTCTGTGCAATACGATAGAGTAATGCAATTGATAAAGAGCCGAGAGTTACTCTTAATGGAAAGAACGCATCTGCGCTTTGAATATCAGTCGAGGCAGCCGAACAGTGAAGGAGAGGAGCTTCAGTTGGCGTACAATTCAACCTCGGGGTCGCTATCTCCCAAGGCGTAGGCCGTAGGGGAATTCCCTCCCTCCCAACTCTTTGGGCGTGGGGAGATGAATGGGCTTCGCTTGTATTCACGAATCTTCCGGCCCCCGTTGACAATCGTAACTCCTCAGCAAGTCCATGCGAGGGTATCAGAAAAACATAGCACTCTGGGTTTTGACGCATTGTGCGTTGAAACAGCAAGCACATTCACACGAATACGTTTTTCCTTCCCTCAGGCACAGAAATGGATATCTAGTCTGAAGCGAGTATTCATCGGTGGCACCACGCTGTGCATTCTGAGAAATGTTCGTACTGGCTAATTAATCCATTGTAGTAATAGGATGATAGTGCGAATCATATCTGGTTGAAGAGTGAGGGAGGTCTCGCAAACGGATGCGAGTTCGGGTTCTAAGAGCAGAAAATCCAAATTATGTTGAAAACGACCTAAACGCGATCTTTTGAGAAATGCAAGACCTGAAAACTGACCTGCAAAACCGCAGTGAGAAATCCGGTAGGGAAAGTGTAGGCTGACAGCCAGAACAGAATCGGAGGATGTGTAGTCGACGCCCACTGAGCAAAATGTTCCACTCTGCTCACCATATCTCGCGTCCACGAACCTAGAAGCTTCAGTGATGGATACGCTGCAACAAAACATTCAATATCATTAAAACCGTTGTATTACGAAAATATTCATTATTCATCTTAAATTTCATATACGTCTGAAATTAACTAAACCATATTTCCAACACATTAAAACACATATTCAGAATATCTTATATAACTATTTTTTTTAAAGTTCAGGTATTATAATACAACGTACTACAGACTTCACTATTACTATCAATCGCATTTTGTTAAAGACTCATACATCTCAACATATTTGTTCATTTCTATCACTAGCGTCTAACACATTCAATAAAACACTTTTCAAAATTAATATTTCCTATTCTATATTTCCTATCCTGAATTGGAGCTCTGCGAATTTCAAACGAATGTTTCTATCTAAAATGACCCACTGTGTGAAAAATACATGTCGATATTTTTTTTTCTTTCTTTCTTCAAAATGTTTTCTTTTTTCAAGTGAGTTGTAGAATGGTGAAGTAAGGAACACTTGGCCGGATCGGCCACTGTGGTGTTCAGAGGGGAATTGCATCTCGAGCTACCAACATAATTTTGTTGCCAGCACTGCCACCAACAAGGTGCCACTGCGGAGACACTTTCCTGCCGCTCTGTGTAATGTGTGGTACATTTTTTTTGAATAATCCGAACATTTCCGAATGCGAACAGAACGCACCGGCAAATAGTTCGGAATACGGGTATTCTAGTGTAGCTAATTGTAAAACACTCTTTGAAAATGCTCACCTTTGAGCCACTCCTCAGGAACTCGGCCATCAAAAAAGCAAGTGAATATATCTTCAAGTTGAGATGACATCACCACGAGGCCTTGAATACCCTTTTGCAAATCGAGAAGAGATTGCGCCATGCTGGTCAATAATTTGTTGTAACGAGTGATCTGCAACATAAGCACAGAAAACGTGGATACCATTGAGAACAATCACTAAATCAGTCATCTTTGAAATAGATTTATAATAGTTTATAATGTTTATTACCTCATAGATCTTGCAATTGTATAGTTTTGAACCATCAAAAAGTTTGAAAATATTTCAAATAAATAATAATATTTTCTTATACTTAATGTATCATTCTATTATAAATTGCTGGATTTTACATATAAAGTTCTCAAATTCTTTACCGTGTATATAAATCATATCTCATACACATTGTCGTCATCGTTCATATGTAATTATTTTAGAACGTCGCTTGTAGTGGAAGGGGCTGCTGCAACGCTGCACTGTTACACGCATAAGCGTCAAGCGGGTTGCGGCGTAAGAAAGGGCCAAAAATTGAAAGTGCACAGCAAAATGTACTACCGATCGACGATATCTCAGAGGGAATTTTAGAGTGATTTTCTAAACCCCTTAGTTTTGATTTCTAAACGTAGGTGATACTCTTATGAATCGTGATAAGTTATTTCGAAAAGAGTTCTTGATTGATGAGGTTTATGAAGTGAACATCCAGTGGTAGTTGCCCTTGGGATTGATAATGATACATTTCCTTTTATGTAAAGTATAGATTAGTATTGTTTTTCATTGGGAGAATTATTTATATGTATACCGTTCAAAGTTCATTATTTTTTTAGTAATATTTAAAGAAATAATCACTACCTGGACAAAATAAACATTGAAGATACCCCGTTTGCAGTGCTATAATCCTGTCCATGTTTTTTTGTTGGTCCCCATGTGCCGACGTCGTTAGCCCAATTGCTTAACTACTATCCGTGAAGTCACGGAGTTTAAACAACATGACACGCCACGGTTTCCTGGAGGGATGACTGTCTGGGAACCCACGTTACTAGTCACGGCACCGATTTCCTGACCGAAGAGATAAAAGGCACTGTCCGTGACGTAACAAAAGAAACAAAAACTTAGCGGAGGATTACTCCAGATGTGCTCAATACCCAAGAATTGCAGAGCTCAGTAGAACAGGTTGCAAGACGGAACATATTTTTGTGGCATATAAAATGAGTGGGTGCATTGCTGTTATTATAGTATCTATTTTCATTACGTTAATTATGTCATTGTAACTAAGATAATATATAAATAATAATAATAATAACAAAATAATTATCCTTGACCTGTTGTACCTGAGATCAAGGAAACATTAATTTGATGAGAAGGATTTACCTCTTGAAGAAGAACAACGTCCAAAGGAGTTTTTATAGGTCCGATTAATTTATCCGTATGATCATAATCAATCGGTTTGGGGATTTTTTCGAGAACATCAACTGACAATTGAAAAACCTGAAAGTTTTGAATATTAGTCAATATTTGTCATCTTATAAACAAATATATTAATTAATAATAATTAATTTTCTCCATTGATGTTACTGTTAAAACCATAAAGAATTTGCACAATATCAAAGAACTAAAATGGTATACAAACATTCAGTCCTCAAGAATAGTTGTGCAATTTAATATTGCTACGTACAGGTTATTGCTCATTACAGTTTTACAGCTTGAGGCAAAGGAGGATATTATGTGTGAAAAAATACAAATATAATGTAAACCCTAGACATTAGGAAACTTCACTAATCTCAAAGTTGCGAAAAAGTTTGTTAGGAATATTTTTCACAGTAAACAACAAAGCTCAAATGAATCCATCTTCTCCTTCACTTGAAAGGCATACATATTTGCAATAAGATGCCATTATGATAATGACTTAACACAACTCTCATAAAAACATAAATACGCACTTTCTGCTCCATGCTTTCTCCTTGTGCAGCCCCCATGTCAGTTTGCATTGACATTATGGTTTCGAACAGATTCTTTGTTTCCGATATTAGAGATGTAATATCAGCATTGGAATGCTGCCCAAAAGCTTCCGGAGGATCAACATTCGGCAGCATTGCAATGTGGTCTATGTACAATTCCAAATCACCATCAGGTGGGATGTGATATATGGGTAGGGTTGAAAGCCTACAACACAAATGTTTTTAATTGTACTTGTTCACTTACTTTAAAATAAGTCCCAACTTGACTAAAGACAGATTATTAAAACATTTTATATGTATAAATCATATAAAAACGGTTTCATTATTTAAAACACATTTTCTATAAAAGTACGGCGTTAAAACAAACAAAGTGGTTTGTCACCTTTAGGTAAACAATAGTTTAAAAATATATGAAGAAATTCACAAAGAACCTTTTTTGTGATTTAAGTATATAAATTGTTTTAACAAATTTGTCTTCAATCAACTTGGGACTTATTCTTTAATGAAACGGAAATGGTTGTTTCATAATAATCAAAAATAAATAACACCAAACTCTACATCTTGTTTTGAATCACGGGTTTCACAATATTAAAATTTATACAGCGTGGGAGAAATGCTTGACACCAAATACATCTTGTCACTACCATTCTGTCAGGGGAGCAGCGAGGAAATAGCATCTTGAAATAGCTGGAAAATACAGGCAGTGAAAAAGTAGCTGAAAACAAGTAGCCGGCGAATGTTTCAAAATAAATAGGAAGTGTTTCTTAATCACTTTCATTCCTTATTTCATATTTGACTGAATGATGCTGAAGAATTCTATATTATTACAATTTTTTGTTTTTCTCAGGAAACTTCTGTGTTTACGAGAAACTCCATCGGATATCATTTGAAGTACTTCTGCTTACAAACGCAATATGTTTAAAAAACGACTGAAATGTAAAATTAAAAATGTGAAATAGAAGGGAAAATATTTGTTTTGAAGAAGGGAGTGTGCCTTTTCGGCCACTAGGTTCACTGCTTTCCCCTTGCTTCAGCTCGGACATCGGCTGACCCTTCGCCAGCGGCCGTAAGGCGTAGTCCCCCGGGCTCCCACGAGGCGCCACACGTACGCTTTCATTATATTTGTGTAATTTTGAATAAATCGTCAGAATAAATCAAAATGACGTTAATACCATGTAATTCAGTACACTTAGCACTTTGCGTACAATTTTTTTAAAAATTGAAGCCTTTTTTGAGAAAATGTCGTTAGACCGTTTCTAAAAACGCGGAATTTTGAGAGAAAAGTTTTTGGTTTTGAGAAACTTTAACAAATACTAGTTACAGCAATTGTACTCACAAATGCAATAATGTACATAAAACACCAGTAATTAAAATATTAACGACGTGAGAGGTACTTCAAAAATACAAAAAACCATATAAATTACAGTGTGCTTTTTACATTTGTCTCAATAAACAAAAGCGTACAGCCAAATGGGATTTATATCACAGTAACGTGATTTTAGCACTAACCGCATAAAAAGTTTAGAGAAAATTTCGAGCTGTTTTTGAGAAAATCTTGCCTCCAAATATGTTTTCATGATTGCCCATATTTCACTCACATATGCGCAAAAACTCATATTGTCAAAAAATATACATGACATTGATTCAGGAACTGTGGAAGCAGGTAGACGGCGAAAAAAAATCAAACTTCAACTTGCAATTTTCGGAAGTTCAGAATTGGCAGTGAACAAGAGAAAGTAAAAACGAATATGTATGTAGATGAGAAAGTAAAAAAAGATGGTGCATTCTTTCTTAGTTTTTAAATAAGGGATCCGAGGTAGAAATTTCCCCTACCTCTATAAAAAAGCTAAGAATGTTAGAAGAAGTTTGATATTATCAAGAACACCACAAAACAATGCAAATGTTTATACCTGTACATAAATGTAGACAGCACTTGTTCTGTAAAGTATTGATTTATATAAGTAAGTAAAAGCCTCCGATCCCAGTCATCAGTCACATGTCCACCGTAATTGATACCGGCTATGAGGTACTTCAGAGCATCCCACGGGGTTTGTTCATACTCATCCAAATAAATTGTGAGAAGATTTTCTGATACCTGATTAGACAGAGCAGTTGAAAGAAGTAGTATTTTTATTGTTCAAACATTATTTCAAAATCAACTGTTTTAATACTTATACTAAATGACAGCAGAGTTTCATTAGAATAATATTTGCCATTTCGTTTTAATTAAATGTAAAGTTATTGACAAATATAGAGAACATACAATGAACTACAAAGTGTATTATTAATATAATTGTATAATTACCTCAAAATCAGAATCGTTAAAACTATATACCACATTCCACCCCAATTCCAAAAACTTTTTCCTTTCCAAAAGGATGGCATGAAAGAAGCACAGAGAGAACAGTAAGCGAGAGTACTTTACATGTTGCTGACATGCAGTGAAGCGATCGTCTGTGATCAATTGATACAAGCGCTTCAAATTGGCTTTCAAACCCTGCAACAAATCACATCAAAACATTCAAAATGAATTGTTTCAGTGGATTGATCACAACGCATCCTTAGCGATGACTCGTTTTGCGCGAACGACCTTTGGAGGCTCCGTGGTCATCTTGATCCCGGCCTGCAGGATGGAGATCGGGAAGTCCGGGTGCGGGCTGGAGCTCAGCCACAGTCTGTGACACAGTCGCGCGTCAACTCGCTCCTCTGCACTCGCAGCACAAGCAATCATATTCACTTGTGCTGTGAATGATGGTAACAATGTACAGTAGAACCCCGGTGTTCAGAACTAATTGGGAGTGTGATCTGTTCGGATTATCGGGGAAAATTATTTGACACATTCCAAGACATCTACAGGATTACTAGACACATTGCAACGTAGCGTGCGATGTGAGAAAATGGCAACGCCGTGAAGTGGCAACGTTGCGATCAACGGAGTTCAGTAAGAACATAACTGATCGCATGTGGTAGTGATTGCTATATTGTTTCAATAATTAGTTACTCAGTTATAAAGTAATTATAAAATATTTTTTTATTACTAATAAGCATTTTATTTATTTTGTTTATTTTTTCCTCCATCCCGAGTTTTGTTCGGACTCTCCGAAATTATTGATTAGTGGGGTTCTACGGTATCATGAAATTTTATTACGAAAACGTGAAGATAAGATCTAATTAATTTTTGCAAACTTTATAATGCAGACGTATCTAAATAAATGCAAGTTGAGAAAAACTTCATATATTTCATTTCTGTATCACGATTTGATTCAGTTTTCAATTACATATTTTTTCAATTTTTTTTCAATATGATGACTGGTGAAGACTATTAATATTCAAATAATAATTACCTGAAAGATGGGTTTATTTTGCTGGAACCAATTATTTCGACAATTTTGTCCAGTCTTGGCATCCAACTAAGAGACAAATGGCAATTTGCGAGGAAAATCCAGAATCCTTCTTTCGCTCCACGTTTAATGAGCCTGCAAGAAACGGTTTCCTGAGAGTGTAGTACAATACTTCACACATCTTAGGCTGCTAATTGGCAGATCAAAATCAAATGTCAAACCAAAATTTTTTATAACACTTTTCAACCTGACATTACATCTGATATATTATTATTTATTATTATGATTTTATTATTTTATTATTATTATTATTATTTATTATGTAATATTATTATTCAATCAGCCTCGTCCATGGATTTCATCAACTCTCCATCACAATACCTTGGTCCTCTTCTTAAGATACCAAAGCTTACATGGAATCTACCATCAATTAAAAATACTATTTGTAAAATTTACATTAAATACATAAAATTCATTCTATTTATTAACCTTATAATCTTTCTCTGTATGTATATATTGCCCCGTATAATATTATATATAATATATATATATATATATATTATATATATATATAATTATATCTATTTAATTCTTCCATGCACCTTGGTAAATTTCTAACACGCAATTGCACAATGAACTAAAAATTGACACTATTCACACTTTAATAAATTATCCCTGCCAGAAATTAAATTTACAACAAACAAGCACTTTAATTTAAGTCAAACATATAGATTTCCTCGACGTATTCTTTCAAGATTTCCGAAAGGTAAACTCCATCCCCCCTAAACCACATAATATTGATTACCTCCCTCCCTCATTCAGCTAAAACTTCTTCAAATATCTCATTACAAAGTTTTAGTCTAATAGAATTTATATCTTTAACATCATTTTGTCAACAATCCCTACTTCAGGTTACCTGTGAGATCGAAATCGTCAGTGATATCAATTTGTAATGTCAAAAACTCTGAAAGACATTCTTGTCGAACAGGCAAAAATAAATTTAAAAGAACAATATATATTATTTCTCAACAATGTGTAATGGTTATATTGCTACAGCTTAATCAACACTTTTATTCCATTTCACCCTTCTTTGTGCTCTTTTTCAATAGTAGCATCAATTTTCTTGGTGAAAAAGGAACTTGCATGTATATGAAAAAATGTTGTAAGAACTATATGGAATTAATGACTTATTTAGAAATGATTAATCTGTACCTTACTGAACTCAAACAAGAGAATTCTAGTATCACAGATACAAGTGTAAGACATGAAACTTTGCATGTTTCGGAACACTTTCTGACATTTTTATTTATTTTACTTCTTGTGTAGGATACTACTAGGTAGTATTGCCCAACTCTGATTGACTTTTTGTCTTCTTCTCAACTCTAGATCCATTCAGTTAGTGTGTCCCTCCGGGTTAATGGCGTTCGTGCTATAGAAGGTGGGTGCTTCAACACTTGGCTAAGGCAAACTTACTCGTTGCCAAGTACAGGTTTCTTAAACTTTTTCTAATTCCTCCTTGCCTCTGAGAAAATTGTATCTGACCTCCAATGTGCTTTATAACATAAAAAAATAAAAAATAAAATGTTGCATTAATAGGATACGCTCCGTTAAACTTGCACTTTTGGAGTTATAGAAAATGGGATCGATTGAGAGCATGTGTTGTCCAAGTCATGTTTCATCATTCTTTATGTTTTTTGAGGTGATTTAAATGCATTTCCTTTCCTGTTCAATACTGGCGATCTTTATATGAAAGATTTAAACATTGTTAATTAACACTTCTACTTAAGTAAATATATAGAAAGATGGTAAATTCTTAATATATCTATAAGTATTTCTTGTATTTTTGACATTTTTCGTTCCTTTTTTCCCAAAGTCAGCTGGGATAATTGAAAATATTTTGAATTCTTCAGAACTTGTACTTTGATTTGGGGATGAAAACAAAAGCAGCTACTGTATTTCATAGCACGCAAATCTTTCAAATACGAACTTTGTTGCGATTGGAGCTTGTCCTTGACCCAAGGACAGGGACTGGAATCGATCACTCATTCCCAATGTTTCTGCCAGCTGCAACAAATTCCCAGTTGGATCTACTCCTGGCGAAAGAACGAAGATTAGCGGCGTTTTTGGATTCGAGTCGTCAAAGACCGCTTTTATATCTAAAACAGGCGGTTCCACAAACGGCTGGCCGAGATTATTCACAATAAAAGCTGACACACAAAAGGATATGCGATCTGGTCGCAATGAACGCACGAACAACATCTTTTGAAATTCAGTGCAGATATCTTCCCATTCACCTGAAATGGAAAGCAAATGTTCAATGTGTTTAGTAGACTGAAAAAATAATCTAATTACGCTTATATGGTCCTCTATATATTTTTAGAAGTCATATTTTTCGTAAGAAACTGAGAAATATATGGAACCTAATGATGAGAACAAGACAGGTTCCGTAAACGTCGTGTAATAAAGAAAATATTTAATGAGATTTTCTCAATATCTTACGAAAACATTGAACACACACACATATATATATATATATATATAATTAATTATGCACACCCTGTGTGCATAATTAATTATTAATAATAAGACAGTCATAGCATAAGAAAAGAACAAATTTAAAGAAATACCAATTAAAGGAAGCTCTTCAGGTTGCTTGTCTATGTACCATTCACGCCATTCAGTAGGATGTTCCTCGAAAGTGTTGACTACGCCGTGAAAGCCAGCGATCTTGTCGAGCTCAGTTATGTTATCCCACGCTGTGTCTGAAAGCCAGCCTGTAAAGACAACACAGTTAGAAACTGATGGATAACAAAATTATACAATACGTTCCACAAGTTGTTTATAGCCAAAGTTTATTGCATCAACCTCATTCTTGATAAAACATCACAAAACATTGATTATTGGTGACGTTTCGGAGGTCAATTGTCTCCATCATCAGGCTAATGACATGTATGTACAATATAGAATGTCATTCAGACAATTATTAGAGATTAATAATTGTAAGTATAATATGGCCACACCATGTAGAAATTAATTCCCGCAGATAAGAAAACTGTTGGGAAACGCAAGGTCTGGCACATTGCATCAGTTATAAACAGCAGATTGCTTCCTGCTGCGCAGAACGTATGAATACAAAAGTATATAAGCAACATACGGAACGAATTGTATAAATTGTACACCTATCTTTAAAAGATATGCTTTAGGTTGGATGATTATTTGGAAACTAATGGACATTCACATAGATCAGGCTCTCTCATATTATCTGAATTGGTCACACAGATGCCTTTCCGATGCCCAGAGAACAGCAAAGGGGAGGGGTGTGGAAAGATCCTAGAATACACTGCAAAACAGTTGATGGAAGACGTGATTTAAGAAATAACTCGCTATGTATTCAGCAATATATTACAATATTTTTCCGAGAGTTTGTATTACAGTATGTCAAGTTTTTGAGCTATATCAGGTATATAAATATTGTGAACATTTGGTTCTCGCCGTTCTTTCTGGAACAGGAATGGTCCCGTGTTTGTTTTTTTTTAACATTTACTCTGTTACTCCAAGGGCATAATTGTGTTTTGCACTGACAGACAATACAGTACGGTTCATGTGATTATGCACTGAAAGAGAAAATTAGTTTTTCCACGAAGCAATTATGTATGGCCACAATTTAGAAATATTTTCTAAACATTCAATAAGCTTTGAAAGACGAAATGGTCACTTAAGATTAAGAAAGATTCTAATAATAAAAGTCCTAAATAATGACACTTTTAATCTTTACCTAAACTGTATATCATTACACCTTTATCTCTATTCTGATACGATTTTAAAATATCATTATTTTATATGATCTTTAATAGATTCTGAACCACGATGGGCATAGCCGATTTGAAACGACTGTAAAATCTTTGGAAATTATCATAATAAGACCGACTTCGTGCAAACCAATATGAAATCTCTTTGCAATTCTGAACTAGGTGATTTATTGATGCCCGACTCCTATGTTCTTTCCACTTATTACTTACATGGGTCGACGTTCCATCCAGTATGGAGTGGGTAATGCTGAAAATTTATTATTTTTAAGAACAGAATATAGTTTCTCTGCCAAGTCTATCTATTAATAAACATCAGCCTTCATGTTTTGGTAACACAATTACATTATTTATTATTACTATTGCCTACATAATTTACAATATTTTACTTTATCATTTATTTGGCATGCCATAAAATTTAACTGGTATTTTCATAATTAAAGGCCTTTACTTTAATGAAAAATATTGTCTATTACCTTCTTTGCAAATAATATTTTTTTACTATCTTGTAACATTTTTTCGTGGTGCATACAGTTTATGAAAGTGAAGTCCTCCCCGAAGCCCGTGTTGTCTAAGTTAAGAATCTTCCGCGGAGACTCCCGTCTACCCACCATTTTGAAATGAGTCATTATTCCATATTATTATCTTCAATAATTTCCTTGAGATATCTGGGAACGTCACAAAACCTGAAGCGATGGAAAAAACTAAGCTAGCAACCCCTGCCCGTCGTACGTAACTCTTAAATAAATTTCAAATAACTGTACTTCAATATAATTATATACTACGTTCTAATAGTTTAGCCACCTATCGCAATACTCAGTCAAACTAAACTACAACATACTATACCCGCTTACTAGCATCCTCTAAGATCCTATTCATTAGGAAAATAAATGTTCTGGTTGCATATGTGGAGAACAATTGATTTATCAATGCTACTTCTGAATGACATTTATCTGAATTTGTTGCCGTAGTAACCATGATCAAAAGTTGTTTCAGATTTAACTTTTTAGTTTCCACCTTCATCAATAAACATTCCTCTTCACATTTAAGAACTTTACATACAATATACGTTGTACATAATATTTAGTAGTCGCTGCAGTGCCTTTGCCCGGAAGGTCCTTGGGTTCAAATCTCGACGGTGGCAGGATTTTCGATAATAGCTAGTTCTATGTCGAATCCAGTCGCTCACTGGAGGAGAATTCTAGCGGCTGGCTGCTCTGGTCGGTAGTTTTCCGTGGTTTCTCCGATCAATATCACGCGAATGTCGGCGCAGTACCCTAACGAACGGGTCACGGACCGACCGCGCGCCATCTTTCTTTCCTCTTCCTTGTCTTATCCTCACCCCTTACCACACATTCCGTAAGAGTGGTCGGGAGTTTAGAGCTGGTCCCGGCTGGGGCGGTGCCCCTCTGGTGGGAGATACCTTGTTGGGGAAGCCCCTGCTAGCCTATGGTCGGTCGGCGCCGGATCTCGCCATCTAGATAACCGACTTCTCCGCCGTTCGTTCCTTAATATTTTCTAATACGTGCAGAAATGTTCAGCATTACAAACTAGCTGCGTAATCTACTATTATCTCTGTGTACCTGGGCAAGGGTTGTCTATCTGATCACTTCGATCTAGCACGACACCTCCCTTCAGAAGGAAGTTGTATTCAGTCTTGTTGACTTTGTTCATTCCTTCCAATATTTTAATGCACATGTGAAATGAAAATAGCATTTTGTGACGCTCAAATAATCCACGACAAGTATTCCTGAAACAAAACTGTAGCTAAGACACTTATACTTAATTGAAAATCATGAAATTATCTATAGTTGATCTTAAAAAATATTCACATCTAAAGCCAACGGTTTTCAAGAAAATAAATATTGTAATTAAGTAATATATAGGAAAACTGCTACTAAATGTGCCCTTAACACACTAACTCATAATAACAAGAAATAATTATACTTTACATAATTAATATTTTAAATATTTTATATAATTCTAACAATCTTGCCAACATTGTTGAGTTATACATATATTTTTCCTGATTCTTACGTGTACACTGCATAAGTATGATGATTATTAAGTAGGCCAATACGTTCTTCCAAATCATCTGACTTTTTACTCTTTGCAATTGAGAGCACGAAAAGATCAATGTACACATCTAATGAAAACTGATACATTGGATCAATAAGAGACATATCATTGAGTACAAAGAAGAGAATGGAGGCTCTCTTTGCACAAGGCCGATATCCCTGGAAAAGAAGAAAGAAAATTAGAAGAGATTTGTTTAATTTTAAATTTTCAGTAAAATTTGATAATATTCGTTTATGCAATTATCTTACGTATAAAGCAACATTATAAACTAGTGGCATACGTTTTTTTTGTATAACACAATTATAAATTTATAAGAAAATCCAACTTAATTGCGAAACCACTTTCTTGTAACGTCTCAGGTATTTGACATCTGTGCGAGTAAAGGGGTGTTAGTATTCCGTCTACCGCTACCTACCATTCGTTTGCTGCGATTGGCTGAATGTCTGATGATATAATCATTCGTGTCGTAAAATGCTAATTTGTGATCATTTGTGTCGCAAATTCCCTTTTATGAAGAATTTGTTGCAACATAAAAGGGTGTTTATAGTGCTGATGTGCCAAAAAGTTTCTTACACGGATCAATTTCATTCTTATCCTACATGAATTAAATAAGTTTGGTCAACTTAGACAGTGAATAACTAATAATAATATGCGTATGTATACGAGACAGTCAGATCCAAAGTTGGCCATGTGACTCTTGTCACGTGCTGACGGAATTATCTTTCATATAGCCCGCTCCTTTTTGATGCTGGCTTTTCATTGCTAGATACTGCTAGAACTATATTTGGGCCTCTCTGTGGTTTGGGAGAAAGGGTTGACGGAGTTTCATTAAAAAAGGGGGGGGGGCGTTTTGGTTCGTATCATATCCTGAAAAGCCGAGAAAGACCTCTCGAGCTGTATCTATCTCCACTTCGGTAGTCTCTGCCTCCTTGAGCTGCTGTGTGACAGACGCCGCTGTCGACTGTGATGTCTGTAGAGTTATCAACAACTGAAGATCATCCAGTATCGATCCCTTAGCTTCGTAGAGTAACCTACAACAGAGATATGATATTTATCTTGGAATTATCTCTTATGAAAATTGGAATTCACAAAAACTTAGTGTGTACCAATATCTCTTGTTTGATATTCCATTTTTCATTTTTTCAAATACTGTGATATCACCTGGTAATTTTACAAAATTCTTTCATAAAGCCTATAGCGCGTCACAGGCCAAGAATGAAGTACAGGGCCTTGCGGGCTTTTCCGTTAAATAAACTTCCCCCCTGTTTTTAAGATGTCAAACCCGCTTTAAATCCTAGTTAACTTAAGTTTTCTTAACAATTACATTAGTACAATAATACCTTTAATACATTATATATTTACCAGCAATCTTGTATAATATATTTACAATGTATTAATTTTTGTAGGAAGAGATACGACTGTTCGGCTGTTGGATCAGCCACAGCTGCGGTGCCATGTCCTTCGGTTGCCGCATCATGCTATGTTCAGTAAGTTCACGTTCCGATTGTTTACCTGTATTTGGTTCGCCTATGATTAGTCATTTTGTTTTTGAGATTAATGGTTTCATTCACGTCAAAGTTAAATGTAATTTCGTTTACATTTCATTTTGGTTTTTAGGTTGTGCTACAATCAATAATATACAATTTTTGAAATGTAATTTATTTTTCTTTGCAATCATAATTTAGAGTATATGATCCACCAACCGTAAAGCGAAAGAAAAGTGTAAAGGGCTTTCTAGTGGGGAAAACAAGTGGGTTATTGCTGTTCACCATACATTGTTTTTCGAAACGGGATCCCTCCTCGGGCCTAGGGGGAAGACTCCCGGCGCGCGAGGCAGCTCGGCTTCCCGCGAAATCAAATCAGTTTTGTCCCCGTGGGCCCGACTGGTTTTCTGGTCAAATTTTAAACATTTTGTTTATAACGAGAGATTATTACTTCTGTATTGTTGCAAAGAAAGCAAGAGGATTGACCTTTTTGCATTAGTTGGCTTTGATGTAGTATTGAAATAGTAGTGCACTTTTAAACCTAATATTTCTTCCCGAGATCTTAATGACATTTCAAAGCACAAAGGTCTGAGAAACATTCGGGGTCACATAGGAATAGCTTTAGATTTGAGGAAAGGGAGGAAACTACGATTTCAGAAAATTGAGGAGGTAAACTAGCGCTCCGCCCCATTGCGGGGTTCGTCGTCGCCACCGAGCGCGTAACACACTTCAGCAGAAGAGCGACGTTTGGCATCGCTGTTGCCATGAGGTTCTGTACTTCATTCTTAACCTCGGTCACGCCATAGAATACATGTATGATTCTTAGTAGTATTTCAGTGGACCACAGGTAAATTATGTTGAAATGGAAAAGTATTTATTAAGTCAGTTTATAAATACCATCGATAATTTAAAATATACCGCAATCCGGGGATCACTGTTTACCGCGCAGGTGACTTTATGCCACCGTGGCTTTTGGAAAACTATTGCCGCAAACTATGTTACGCTTTCTGCCATTGGTGGATTCATAATGCACCTGATGAGTGGTGCTATCTATTACATCATTTAGGAACTGCATATTCATTACCGTGTTCCCGCGTTTTTAGTTCTTAATTTTGCGTCAATTGTTGATGTGCTTATGTATTTCGGAAAATTTATGTCACAACTCAGATTACAGTAACATTAGGGAGAATAATGTAAGTGCAGTATTTTGCAGCGTTATTCATTAACCTAGTGTTGTAGTTTCTACGCTTCGACTTTCATAGTTGTTGTTGTTTTTTGTTGTTTTTTTTATGAGAGGGATAAACTGATGGAAAATGAAGGGAGCGTAGTGAGAATACTTATTGATTATTCAATGCGTTATTTTCAAGTTTTTGTCACGTCTCTTTAAATTATTTCAATTTTACATTTGGTTTCCTGTGAAAACGGAAAATTGTTCAATGAATAATTAATCCAGTAATGGCACTCGCAATTCCTTATCTTCTCAATCCAACTCAGTTCCTATAATTTGTAATGGTGGAATATGAATGAGAACTGTTCTTTACAAATATGAATATAAAATCCAGAAAAATTCAAAACCCTGAAAAATCAAAGTCTGTTTTTCACAGTTTACTAACAACTTTCGAAAATTACAAAAGTTTGAAATTTTGTAGTTCGAAATTACAAAATTTAAGATAAAGATTTTGTCTTTAAATGAAATTTGTTCTTCTCAATTAGTTCTTTCATTGGCGTCATTAACATGTTTTAAAATTTAAGTCATTATTATGTAATTTTGAACGCAATTTGGGCAGTATTAAAAACAATGGAAACAAAATTTTCTCAAAATTATTTCCAATTTTTTTTTCAAAATTTTTGTTCGGATAGTGCTAAATGCACTGCTTACATGACATAAACACCATTTTGTTGTATTCTTTTGTGTTTTTTAAATAAAAATATTTTTTAAATATCTCTATCGTTGTAATATTTACATTGCCAGCTCTTGGTTTACATTATTGCATTTGCGAGTTGATGTGCTTCAAATGTTTTGAAATGAAGTTTTTCAAAAACCCAAAAGTTGTGAGTGAAAATGATCTTCCATATGTGCATTTTCAGGTACGTTCAAACTACATTTCCTATAAACGGCTCCAATTTTTTCAATGGAAATGTATATGAAGGAAAATATTTTATCTTTATATATACGAGCCGAGAGTTTAATTTTTTTCGTTGATGAACAAATAGAAATATTAAATAAATCGAAGAGTTTAGTGATATTCAAACTTGCGCCGTCTTCAGAGGCATATTTTACCGAATTTTAGGGAGAGGGAATAATTAGAGCTTTCTTGAGAAAATTTCGAAGGTGTTCTAGGCACGTCTTTCAAAGTTTCTCCAAAAACTAAAATATTAATTTCAAAACCACAGTCCTTTGTGCTCGATCAAACGGAGAATATTCAATTTGGGGAAAACTGTTGTTTGGGCGCCTGTGTTGTCCCCCAATTGACGGACGGTTCTCCGAGAACAAGGGCTGAAAAGGGTACTCAAGAAGAAACTAAGCCAGGCTAGAGGGTAAGAGACCATCTGGGAGACCAAGAGGAACACGGGACGCACATACACAGGGCAAATGCCAAAGGAGTGGAGCTACACTGGGAGAGATGAAGCGCGAGGCACAAGACAAAAAGGAGGATGTCGGGAAGAAGTCTAAGAAGAAGAAGAATAAGGACCGAAGGATTGAGAAAACGTTACCTTAGCAGCAGGTCCTCCATTTCCATCAGAGTGCGGCGGCCAGCAGCGATGTTGAGCACTAGTTTCTCCTTGAGCTCCTCCAGCTGAGGCTTCTCTTTCCTCACAACAATTCCCAGCAGCTGCGCTTCGAGCCCTGCAAAGCGCGTCCATTCAGCAAGAGATCCATCGGAACTAGTGGTACTTTTTCACCGTATTTTCACACAAAATTATGCGAAAATTACTCAAAGTTTCGAAATGTTGTTCATAACCTTATTTCAAAAACTATCTTTAAAAAACAGAATTTATTAATAGAAAAATCTATATCTTTTATATTTTACTTGAAGAAAGACAACGAAAGATGTTTGTACTTTTGCCATTTTCGAAAAATTACGATTTTTACCGAACATGAGAATTACACCATTCTTTTAAACGTTTTTTACACTATCCAACAACATAATTCTTATCAAAAACGATGGATTCGTTGTTTTTTTTTTTAATTTTTGAAAATGTCCAAGGGTTCCATGTAAAGTACCCCTCAAAATTAAAATATCGGTTTCAAATTCAATGGGCCACACATCATCCAGATTAATATGGGGATAACAATTTGGTAGAAAATCTGCTGAACGGTTTAGCCACTAGCGTTTTTCACAAACGGACAGACATGTATCAATGGGTATTTGTAATCATTCTGGTTTGATCTGAATGAAATCTGATCTAAATATTAAGAAAGAACGTGCCTTATCAAAATGACAAATTTTAAATTTTAAAATCCATTTTCCCCTTGTTTTCATGGATTCTTAAACGAAAATAAAATACAACAACACACTTTTGAATCTTTCATAATTTTCTGAACCTTTGTAACATTAAAAGTGGGGACTGTGAAACCCCACTGGGCAGCTTAAGTAACAAAATATAAATGAGCAGTTGCAGGATTCATTCATACTCACATACCTTGTTCTTTGACCGCAAAATTTACAAGAGTTGTTTTTGTGCATATTTCCGGTGGATAATGCGGATTGCTCATTTTCGTTGTGATAAACAGGCGAAAATCAAAGTTATATTCCACAAATTTATCAGACAGTTTTATTAAGTTCTGTCCTCCTGTAACACAAAACCAATCGAGATAATGTATTAAAAAGGAGTATTGAATACAATTTCAACTTCATTTATGAAGCATCATCATGCTCCCGTAGTGTTTGATCTTCTTTTCCTGATTGGTGAAGGAGTAGCGTCGGGTATATGTGAGTTATTGTGCCAGCACACTATAAAATCAATGCTTTAATTAGTTTACCGACGCCAATTTTCAATTTTTCGGAAACGAAAAATTCTAGTTTTCAAATATTGCTAAGCAATGTTTCTGGTATCATCTACATCTATAGTCAAATGGACAGAGGTTCTGCCCCTCAAGAAAACATTTGCTCTTCATTCCTCTCGCCCATACGTCACCCTTATTTTATGATTTTTGAAAGTAAATACGTCAAATATTAGAAGAAACATAGTTTGTCGACGTCTGTCCATCCCACGGATGTAAGTTCCGAGTATTCAGAGTTGGCAGTAGCTCGAAGTAGAAAGTAAAGAAAAGTATAAAGTCCAATATTTCAAATTATCTGTAAATTCTGAAGACAATCTTTGTGTGCAGATTGTGGGCAGTTTTAATTTCTTACAATATAGAAAGGTAATAGTTCTAATAAAGCACCCAGTGCTCTTACCTTGCTTCACGACCGCCTTATTAAGAATTGGAGTTAAAGAGGGATCCAAAGCTTCCAAAATATTTTGTAATAGAACTGGTTTTCCGTATTGAATTGAATGTTCCAAAACTTTCATGAAGTCTGCCTGACCTAAGTCAATTACAGCAAGATCCTGAAAAAAAAAATTTAATTAGACAAGTTTTTAATAAAATTCTCTACTCTAAGAGTGTGCGAATGTAGGGTTTCCAACCATCCCGTTTTGTAAAGATATTCCCTATTTTATTATAGTTAATGTCCCGCGTTCCCACATGACAACTATTGACGACCTTTTGACCCTTTTTTTCTTTTTCGTGAATTTGCTTTACTGTATACCGAGTCTTACTAACTCTGTCTATGAAGTAATGATGCTAGCTGGACTAGTGTGAAAATTCCGCACTTTGTAAATTATTATTTTAAAAGTGCGCGTGCGGAGCTTCGTAGAGTATTGGATCCCGACTCCAGGCCAGAAACTGCTTTCTTCGAGTTTCACGCTTCTACCGAGTCATCAGAAGATACACCTTCATTCAAATCTTCGCTCCATCTCGATGTGATTCCCTCGCATGCTCTTTTCACATTTCTTTCGCGTGGTCAACTTTCTTCTCTATAATGTTCCGTGGCATTTTCAGCACGTGATCAGTATGTTCCTCAAATGGTTCAAGCATGTGCCCCCAAATATACCTCCGCACGTTCCCTATTTGAGGAGTAACTAATCAAAACGTATATTGTCCACTAGAGGAAAAAATTGAGTTTGATATGAAATCGTGTAGAGTTTAATACGTTGTACACTCTCCTGCTTTCGAATTTCTACAGAACGCGTTTAATTCAATGCTGTAAAACGCGTTTTTAATTCGACTTGTAGGTAGCAAACCTCTAGTGCCTCAGAATTAATATTGCGAACTGAAGCCGACGTCGTTAGCCGAAGTGCTTAACTGCGCTCCGTGAAGTTACTGCAATTATGCAACTCGAGACACCACTGATTCCCGGACGGATGGCCGTCTGGGAACCCCGTCACTAACGGTGCCGAACCCCTGGCCGAAAGGATAAAAGGCAACGAGTGACTGTGAAGTTGACACAAAAGATACAAATTTAAAGGAGGAAACTCGTACACGCGCTGAACGCCCGAGGTGGCCAAGAGACGGAAAAATCAATAGAATTTTTCAAAAACTTCAAAGACATGTAGAGTTGAAAATGACATATTTTTCCAATTGAACAGTAGTTATAAATTTAATTTAATGGAGTTACACATTTCCCTCCGATTTTTAGACGACTCTTCTTATCCACAAATACTCAGCGAATAATCTGACGCAGGTGAGATTTCGTGTATTTGACAAATACTTGTGTTAATAGGAGAACCCAACAATCATGTACAAATGTGTGTGTGTAACTCAATTATAAGTCTTAATAAACACTACAATAGATATCCCGGGAGGACGCGTCGAAAATAAGGTCTTAAGATAATTTTAAGCATAATTTGTCTAATGAATTACTTGGATATTCCGAACGACTGAGCCATAATTATAGAAATTAATGTTATAAAAATAATAGTTCAAAATAATAAAAACGCAGAGGAATAGTATAAACTGGGTGCTTTTTAACTCTCTTATTTTTTATCTGTGAACAAATATATTCACTTGTTTTGTAAATTGTAAACAATTTACATGTTTCTGGAGTGTTTAGAAGGTTCTGCAATGCAAAATTTTGTATCTGAAGAATTTTTTCACACCAGCTTTTGAGTGCTTATTTCGGCTCAGCCAATCGAAATATCGAATGACTTTGAGACAAAATTTGCTTCAAATTGTCTTAAGAATTTATTAGTGAAGTTTCGACTTTTTCTTTCTGGACATTCTGCAGATGTGTCTCTCTTCTATCTGCAGTTATCCACTACGTCGATCCATCATAGGGTGTTTTTCAGCCAACAGCCAGTTACCTTTTGCGTTACAAGGGGCGCATATTCGACGATATGCCTAGACACTAATTCACCTGCGAGCACCTCTGATCTGGGGTCAGCAGCGCGCTAGACCCTCCGCGACGACACATACAGAAGACACAAGGGACAACCCATGCGTAAGGTGGGGCTCGAAACCGCGACCCTTCAGTCCGAAGCACTGGGCCACGCTCTTAACCACCTCGGCTATCCAGGTCGTCCCCACTATACCCTCTTTGGCACAAATTAATCCTTTTCGACCCGATTGTGAGGCGAAGGCGAAGGCGAGAGCGCCGAGCACGCACGTTGTCGGCCTCCATGTTCTTGATCCACTTCATGCCCTGGCACTGCGGGTCGATGAGCAGCGGCCAGCGACTGCAGCGCGTCACGATGATGCCGTTCTCCGTGCTGAAGTCGTCCGACGGCAGCCCCTGGATGTTCCACTCGCGGATCGTCGTCTGGTCCGTGAGGAACTTGGCCGCCGAGAACTCCTCCGTCGTCGGGATCTCGAACTCGTTCACCTGCAAACCGTTCGCGTCCCAAGCTAGCGCTGCATTGCAGCTTCTACACGGCAAGGCAGCGCTCGCTCTACGAGGGCCGATGCTCACGGTGGCCTTCCACTTGGCGAGCAGCTTCTCCCGGTAGAGCGTGAGGAAGGGCCCGGTGTAGGAGAGGAAGGCCGTGGCCATGAGGCAGTCGCCCGGCAGGCCCCTGTACTCGGCCTCCAGCGACAGGATGGTGGCCTCCCAGCGCGAGCGCTCGCCCGACAGCCCGTCCACGAGGGCGCGCGCGCGCTGCAACTTGGCCATGAGCAGCTCGGCCTTCTTGCGCAGCTCCTCCTTCTGCAGCTGCTTCTCCTCGTACTCCTTCTCCAGCTTGGCCAAGAGGTCCGTCAGCTCTTTGAGCTTCGCCTCGGCCTCCGCCAGCAGCTTCTGCTTGAGGCGCAGCGCCGCCGTCACCTCGTCCAGCTTGTCCTTCTTCGGCTTCACCACTCTGCGCGCACACACACACTAATTAGCTAATTAATTAATTAATGACTGGGGCGAAAACAGCAAACTCTTTCTGGCCCTACTATTCCTAACGTAATATTTATACCGCAATTTCTCTCCGAATTAACGTAACACATTCATTGAATGATAGTGAGTCTGGATGCCTCGACTACTAGGGTCACTAGTTAGGCACGGGCATAGTGATTGTTAGTGATTCGACTAGCAGTGTCATTAGTTAGACATCGACAGTTAGTGTTTCCAGGCGCCTCGATCATTAGGGTCATTAGTGCCACACCGACACAGTGATTGTTGGTATTTCATTTATTACCAAGGTCATTAGTTCCACTCTTACACAGTGATTGTTAATGTTTCAGAGCATTTCCACAACTAGAGTCACTCGTTCCACAAGGGCACATTGATTTATAGTTAGTCATTCCGAGCAACTTATCTACTTGGGTCATTAATTCTGCACGAACACATTGATTTATTGTTAGTGATTACGGACTTCTCGTCTACTAGTTAGGAGTTACGTAAGTGTAGTTAATGTTTTACTCGTTAGGTGGCGGTGATCTTTTTCCCACTGTACGGAGAGATCCGGCGCCGACCTACCGTCGGCTAACGGCCTTTCCGTCAACCAGGTATCTCCCACCAGCGGGGCACCACCCCAGGGACAAGCTCTAAGCTCCCGATCGATCTCCTGTCGTGTGTGGTAGCGCTGAAGACTTGGCAAGGAAGACGAATGAAGGATCGCGCGCGGTCCGTGACCCGTTAACATCGTCCGGCATTCGTCCGTTATTGATTGGACAAAACCACGGCAAACTAGATCAGAGCAGCAGGCCGCTAGAAGAGTCACCCTGATGGCGACTGAATTTGACATAGCTGCCAAGCCAGTGTCGAAAATCCTGTCACCGCCGAGTCTCGAACCTAGGACATCTCGGTCACGGGGAACTGCAGTGGCAGCAGATGATACCCCGAGCCACCTCTCCCAGTTTCTCTTTTGGTCTCCTGCTGAAGCATGATACTTACCGATACACTTTCGCGTACTTCTCTATGGCGATGACCCAAATGCAGAGAGATTTGGCGGCAATAGAAACGATGCCGACCTTTTCCGGTTCGAACTCCGGATTGGCAGTGTACACCGCTATCTTCTTTAGAGTTTTTTCCGAAATGTTATCTTTATCAAATTCTCGAAGCTGAAAATTAACACAGCCATTATCATCACAATATTTATAAAAGAAACTCGCAGTGAATTATTTAATTATTAGACTTGTGACAATATTCCGAACATTTTATGTACAATTGGATGGAAAATACTGTCATGGACTAAACTATATATGATTATATTTCAAGATGTTTTGAACAACAGATTTTATTAAGAAAAATATTTATCTCCATTATTGTAGTTAAAGGAAGACGATAAAAAATTTAAATTTTTAAATTTTCAAAAACTTCGTGGACCTCAACAAAAATAAAGTCAGTGCAATTTTTCTTTTGCCAATTTTTTTGGGGGGAAGTGCTAAATGCACTGTTTAAGATGACATAAAAGTCATTTGCTGTATTCTTTTGTTTTCAAAAAAATACGCAAATGCATTTTGACCTACGTTGGTAAACTGGGAATGCCATCGGTTTGGCACATCATCGTCAAGTATTTGAAATATTTCTTTCGCATTAAAACCAATATTCTAGTTGCCTCAGAAGCGTACATTAGAGACAAAACTTCTTTAACTTGAAGCATATAATTTACAATACTAAATATCCTGATTTTCTCATACTAGTTAGTTTTTTCAATCCTTTGGTCTGTGCCTATTTAAATTATCTTCCTAGCTGACACCTATCGTCGCCATAATATTTTTTTTTTATTTTCGTAATTTTTCCATTCTCAAATGGTAGATGCGCAAGGGTATAATTGCTTTCGCAGCACTTGGTGTATTCCGTAAGAGCGCAGCGCGGCGCGGCGCGGCGCACCTGGTCGAGGAAGTTGGTCTGCCCCAGCTGGCGCTTGGCCTCGGCCCACGTGGGGTCGGCCTGCTTCAGGATCATCACGGCCTCCATCACCATCTCCACCTTGGGCGGCGGCCGCCCGTACGACTTCACCTCCGTCATGTCGCGCTTGTTCAGCGAGTCCAGCGCCTGCGCACAGCGGCCAACGCCAACGATGCTCTCACTTCTGCTGCTGGCAAACTGGAATGCGTCATTTTGAAGAACGCGAGCGGCGAATTGCGAGCGCGGAGTCAGCATCCACTCGGCTGCCCGCGAGTCGCCGCGTCCTACGAAGCATTTTACGCGCATTTCGTTCGGAGGAAGGTTCTCCTCTTACGATTGCCTGAATGACATCCGCGTTACTAATTTCCAACTCGCGCACAAAGAGCATAGCCATATGAGGTGGTGAAAAGTGCCCACATACCAAATCGATAATCGCGTTGCTCATATGAAAGAGAATAAAAAAATGTTGTAGAATCCCAAAAACAACAGCATCCTAGGGCAATCTGGTGTACAGATACAATGCGAATCGTTTTTTTAGTTTTATTTTTTTGCGGCTTCTGTAGCATATTCAGACTGACAAGCATTGCAGAGACGCGGTAAAATACTTCAATATGAAGGTATCTTTGTCAAGCAATTTTGGCGCCAAATACAAATAGAAAAAAGTAATAAGTTATTAAAACTGATTTTCGATGTGATAACGTTGGAGTACTAAGTTGTTGTTGTTTTTTTCTAGAATGTGTCTCATAACATTCTATAACATATATTTTCTTCAAATTTTTAATTAAAGTGGTGAATAGTGAAAAAAATTATCTATTTACAAATTTTAAATTCGCGCCAAACTGTAATTGGACCATTGCTGGGACCAAACAAATGTCACCAATGTTTAAACAATGCGAGAAAATACGAGGGAAGAAACGGAAGAAGCAAATTAATTCCTCAATTACCCGCATGGCCTCTTCAAGCGCGGGCATCGCCTGGTCTAAATCTGCCTGAGCAACGGCAGCCAGCTTCTTACACACCGCTTCTTCTTCTAAGATTTTTATCTTACTTGCAGATACTTCTTTCTGGGTCACATCAGCCTCGTGCTTCTGTTGCGTAATTTTCACGAGCACATCATCACACTGCTGTTGGAATTCAGCAACTGTTAAAGAAGAATATTTAGTCAGTAAAGTCAATAAATGCATGAAACTAATGACCTGCAGTATCCAAATCCAAATTTTTCGAAATTAGATACTTAAATAATGTCATGAACGTTACAAGTAGGATTAGTTTTGCATAATTGAATAGACTTCAGATAACTTTGAATTAATGTTTTCATAATGTGTTCCTTAATTTTGAGTGTGGTCAAAAACGAGGAGAAACTATAAATCTACGCACCATATAATTAAATTGACGAATTAATAGGCCCCTTAATGAAGAGCCTTTATATGTAAAATTCATATTCTGGCCTGAAGTTTTGAAGTCATTTTATCTTTTTAATAAATGATTTACAAAGTGCGGAATGTTCGCATGGGTACATATTGTGCTACTTTATTTCTATACAATAATAATAAATAATTTTGATGCAGTTTGTTACAAGATTGTCGTGGGAAATCTTCACGACAATGAGGCTCTTAAAGAGTACATCATCGCACGTCTCGGGAGTCTGCCCGCTAGGACACACGTCTTCCGCGAATTATAGAACTAGATGAATGCAGTAGTATTAAAATTTACCTTGCTTCTGAGCATCCAACAATTCCACTGACATGACTTGCACTTTTGCTCTCGTTTCATCGATTTTAAATAGACCATTGCGAAGTTTGTCTGCGGACAACTTGACCGAATGTCTCTTTTCTGCGAGCATACTGAAAGAATTGCGAGACATAACAAAAGCTTCCACAATGAATTCATCTCACTTGCATCACGATGCTAATCTTTCGCACATACCTTTTGTATCCCACCACCAACTCCAAGTAGTTCACAGGAGTTACATAGTTATGCCTTTTCATCTGCCTACGCATCTCATTTGAACAGTCCGATACAGAGTGATGGACTGTAGCGAAAATCTTTGCAACGGACGTTCGAAGTAATCGCTGAGAAAACAAGATGCAAATGTGTTTAACGGTAACTTCTCATGAAGTTAACTCTTTAGAGATGTTTTTTTGTTAATATATTCCTTATTATAATGTAACATGCTACATTGACCTAGCAATTGGAATATGAAGAAGCAATTGATGATAACATTTTTATTCCTTTAGTCCTAGTATAGAAGTGTTTTGCGGCTGTCGTACCCAATCACACACGGTTACAATAGACTACACGTAATAAATAATTAAATGAATGCATACTTAAAGGAAATCATGTACTAATTGTAGCCAAATTGCAAAATTACAATTGAAACGTATGAAATGTGAAATATATGTAGCTATCAAAATAAGTTGGCCGGAAAAATGAGGCATAAGAAATAGGAGACATTACAGCGGCAACACTAGACAGAATATTTTATTTCTGAGCCTTGATTAATGGTATGTTTCCTCTCACCATTGTTAATAATTGATTAGAAAGTTATTGAAAATCGCTTCACCTGAGCATCCTGGTATTCAAGTCTTCCTTCCCTTTCAGCCGTCGTCTGCAATGACATCAGATTCATTACTAAATTGATAAACAGTTGTTATAAAATTCATTACAAAATCTTCTACAAAAATAAAACTATTATTATTATTATTATTATTATTATTATTATTATTATTATTATTATTATTATTATATCAAAATGGTAATCTAAAAATCAGTCATAATAGCAATCAAAATGTAAGAAACATTTATATTGCATTTGTACATTTAACAAGTTTCAAATATTTAATGACTCTCAGAAACGTAATAACTTCGCAACTTTTATTAAGCCAGGATTAAAGGTTTATGAAAAGTACTTTTTTAAATTAATGTGGACCAATTATAGGGAATTATTTGTGTCATTCTTACATTTATGGCTTCTAGAACAAAATAGTCCGGATAGATAATCCGCAAAGTACTCCAGGTCTGAATTTAGAACAACGCAAAATCTTCTAAAATAGTTAACAGCTTTTAATGTTGCAATTCATAACTAAGTTTTGTACATTGGCGTTTTTCCTTTGGATGGTCTGACGTTAAAGGACATTCCTTACGTTCACTGGGCAATCCTTTTGCAAATCACATATCATTTTCTGTAAATTTTATAGTTTTGAAATTATTAAAGGGATATATTATTCACTCTACTGAGTCAAACTTATATATAGAACTTATTTTTGGTTTGGCGGTAGTCGTTTTTTGACTTTCATACAGCAGAAAGTGATGATGATGGCTAAGCCATTGAAAGCTGCTATTGAAATCTGTTGTTGGCTGTGACAACTCCTATAAATATTTCTAGGTATTTTTACCTAACAAGAGCCTACTATTTTCTCAAAACGACAGCCATATTCTACGTGCACGTTACATGCAGTGCTACAATTCGTATGACGACTGTCAACAATCATTATTCCATTAAATACAAAGTTTTCTAGGAATTCTTTCTCAGCACGGACATGCGAGTACAATCCATTCTCCAATGAATTGACAGAAGTTGATTAAAAGAGGGACTCACCGCTTCAGATTCGTTGATTTCCGCCAGGAAATTGATGTCTATCAAGTACTTCTCGGCCACCTCCAGCAGCGCCTCCACCGGCCATTCGTGGAACCAGTCGATGGTCGTGCAGTTGACTAGGCCAGGGTACTGTCGAACGCGAACCCTGAAAACCAATGCAACACAACTATACCTTTGAAAATATGTCTTTTTTTATAATTTTACAATTTCTTTTAATACATCCAAAATTATTTTCTATCATTGTTTTATTTTATGAAATCCGACGAAGTTTCGGAGACTGTTGTCCTCCCTCATCAGGTACAACTCAAAATGTAGTTATAAGAATAGTTCAGAATGGCGAATTATTTTCATAATTTTCATAAAAGAAGGAAGAATCTTGCCATTATTGTGTTATTGATGTGTGATATGCAAGGTAGCAAGAAGTCATGCCACTCCAAGACGGAACAGATGCGTCAAGCAGATACAGTCGACTAGATACAGCAAACTGGCATGTGGTGAACTTAGATCATTGGCTCAGTGAAGCGTCACATCGTGCTTCGAAGGTAGAACCCATTTGAATGCCCGCGCGACGGAGCTACCTGGCCCCTCGGGATCCAAAGAGAAAAAAGTGATGACTCGACGGGTGGAACGGCCATTCGGCTAGTGGAACTGGAAGTGGATCTACGTCGGTGTGTGAAGCCATTCAAAGTTAGCAGCCCCCCGAAACCAATTTCAACCAAACTACATCCAACATTTTAGAATAGTTTGAGGTTAATTCCTGAATTTTAGGCTCTTGATTTCCCTCTCCCATTGTCAGTTAATAAGTGATAATGAGTTATTGTTTCCAACATCTTCATTATCCTTTTAGAGTAAATTACTGGGCTTGATTCATTTCGCAATTCTTCCTCAGAAGGCGAGTACTAACTTCCAAAATTGTAGCATATGTGCTACAGATTTAAACTTTGTAGTAAAGCAATTGGAAAAGACAACAATTGAAATATCTTACTTCTAGAAATATGTTAACTACTTCTTTTTGTTCAGCACTAGTTTTTGATATATAATTTTAAAAAATACTAGATTCTCAAATTAATCTTAAATTTTGCCCCGGGATTCATATTTTAAGTTGTTTTTTTTTTAATTTTCTGTCCACTCTCTTTTACGAACGTGTATAATTTGTTTGCCTTTGTACAGCCCTGATTTTTGAAACAAAAATGCAGTAATTTTTTTTCCTAGAGCTTCAAGATGTCCTTAAATTTTGTGCAGTATTTCATATATTTTCTGATTTTTTTATTTTTGTTTATTTATTCGCTTATAAGAACGTGTGTGAATTATTGCTTATAAAAATGTGTGTTAAATATTTTCTTTGTACAGCCCTGATTTTTGGAATAAAAATGCGGGAATAAATTTTTTTCCTAGGGCCTCGAATTAGCCTTAAACTTTGGATGTGGTTTAAGAATTTTAATTAATTTTTAGTTGGATTTTAGGTGGGAGCTGCTAGCTTTAGACTAACGCTAGCAGTGCCCACCATTTTTGAGAAGTCCAAAAGAGCCTAAAATTCTGAAATATAGCATTTAATTAGCATCCAATTATACAAAAGTGACTCATATACATTGGCTGAGATTGGCTTTCGGACGCTGCTAGCGTTAGTTGTCATGTGTGCAGGCGGAAGGCGTCGAGCAAGCAGGTTCCTTGGCTGCCACGCGACCTCGGCCTCGAGCGGTGAGATGAAGGTCGTACAGGCCTGCGGCGCGGCCGAACGAGTGCCCAGCATTCTGGAGTTGGACTCGTGCTGATTTTTTAAAAGAAACGTGTGACACAGGTGAAGAAAAAGAATGTTAACTGGAACTTGTTAGTTGGGGGATTAGTCCAGATTTATTCGGAATTTTTAAGTACTCGCGATATAAAGAAGGTACATGAAATTCAAGTAAACATGAACATTGGAAGTAATGTGAAACCTTCACGTAAGTGTACATTAATGCTTTTAACATAATATAAGCCCTTTTTTCATTCTCAAATTATTGTTGTTCAAAAATTCCATATTATTCCATACAAAAGTAATAAAGAAATACCTGAATGCTTCTCCAATGGGACTCATACAGAGAACAATGTGCAGATTCGATCTCACGCGCTCGATGAAAAACGAAAACACGGCTTCCGTTGTTTGCATGAGTCCAGCCTTTGCCACAGCGTTGCTCAATTTATTCTTTATCTGGCAAAGAAATACGTATATGTCGGTATGTAAAAAGTTTTCACGATTTACTAGAAATGCAATTGCAATTCTTAATAGAAACGAAATACTTACTTCCTCAAATTCCTCAGGTTTGTACAAGTTTGGAACTTCTCCGCTGCTTAACATGTTATTTATAATTTCCATGAAAGCTTCTTCTGTAACCTAAATAGAAAAACAATATTTTAATGACATATTTTATTCTTTAACTGGGTGGATTCATGCAAACATTCTCGAATCACTTTCTTAAGTGAATATAGATTAAGTTATTAATTAGCATGTATATTCCGTATATTAAAGGCAGCCAGCGCGTCAGTCCTGCCTCGAGAGGTGAAGCGTCAGTGTGACGTGTAGTGTGACGTCGTGGATACTCACAGAGAGCACAGACACGATCTTTCATATTAACAAATATTTATTTACAAGAAAAAACACAACAAATATTTACAATGAATTTGAACTTTACACCCTAGCTTTGATAGACATGCTATCACCTGATCGCAGGAGCGATCCCAACCCGATTGATGATTGGTTTCAATTGTGGCACTCGCCACTCCTACATCTGATTTGGGCTGGCGCCCAAAGCCAAGCTTCCGTATGTCACACTGGGACCCAATGTCCAGACCAGCGTACCAACTGATGGTTTGCGTTGACCGCAGAAGCGATCGTACCCGATTGAGAATCGGTGCGAGTCGTAGCTCTCAACCACTCCTCACCTCGGAGCACGCACACACCATCTTTCCCACGTGACCGCAGTCACACAAAGTCCTCCAAAGGCGCGTCAACTCGTGACTTGCCTCGCGAGCCCGGCCCGCCGATGCACCGTCGTGGCGCTAAGTGCTTCTGCACGAGGTTCTCGCACTATCTCCACAACCCACCCACTGGCTCTGTGCACTCCCTTATACACTCGCTCACGTGACATACTACATTACGCCGCCTCCGCAGCGCACTTCTGCTTGCCCTAAGGTTTGGGTCTCCGTTCCTTAAGATTGAAGAACCCCAGAGAATCGTGTCTCCCTTTGCCACGAGCTTGCTTTTAGGAAAAATACTTCTCTCCCTCCTGTGGCGAGGCGGTTTCCTGTTGCTAATCGCTTACTACCAGTTCCCAAATTGCTGCCTTGAGGTTTGCTAGTACGTTACAGTCAGGTTTGAACACGATTCTTTTGTATACCACTATTATAAACGACCTTTTCTGTTGCAAGGAATAGCTCATAATCTGGTAATTTACCGCACAAATGATGACGTATTAGCATATTACACCACAAATGATTACAACATCCTACATTTAGTCAATTGCAGCGAGAGAATCCTGGGGAGGTAGAGGTTAAAGAAACAACCGACCACCATTTTTTCACACAGATATCAAATACTCGAGACGTCACAAGAAACTTTGTTTCGCAAAACTAAGTTTGAATCTCTTATGAATTTATAAATTATTATTTTGCTGTGATATAAAAAATGCAACTCTATTTTAATGTTACGTTATTGTATTCTTACACATTTCAAAACTCAATAAACCTTTAAGTTATAAACTAATGAATTAAAGCTAAAGTTATAATACTATGAATACGAAAATCCTCAATACATCCATCAAAATTCTGGCAACGATTTTTTGCAGTACTAGGTAACTTTCTCCACACAATAAATAAGAGAAAGGGAAGGGTAAAAGTATATAGCAACGAGTATTTCCCACTCTTCGACAAAAACTGGAAACGTCAATCAAAAATCTTACCTGAGTGTCACTAAAAATGAAGGCCATAGGTTTCAATTCAACGCCTGCTTTATTGTATAAATCTTTTAGATCATCTTTAAATTCTTGGACGCGGTACGATTTGGTAACTTCAATGCTAAAGTTTCTGTACTCGCAGAGATAACCAGCTATCCGTGATAGAGACTGTCTGCCACTGCCACCTAATGTCAGAAGCACACATTTACATCGATTAAGAGAATAAAACATTAGCGACACATACCACAGGGATGGAAACGAAAATAAATATTGAAACTGAAACATGGAGAATCTTGAACGACCATAAATAATATGCTGAAGTCAGGTCAACGAGGCTTCGTCAGTAGGAGCACAAAGATGGTTGTTTGTCAACGTTTGGGAAAATGTATTTCCACCCACAGGACTATACAAAATGAATAAGGAGTAATCACTAAACGCTATCAAAAACGTGCCAGATACAATTACACTATCTTGATACAGTTAAACACATTTTATATTTTGTATACACGAATTTCTTACCTTGCAACCACCAACGAAGTATACACGTTATTAAATAAGCTGCTATATATCCTTGGCTATAGGCACGTCGCGGGATGTGAGGAACATACTACATACAAGTACATCTTCACCAAACCAACGCACACTATGACTATTGATGGTAGAATGTTGGGCGGTGAGAAGAAAATTATTTACTATGACTGAGTGTGGTAAACGTCCTTCTGGAAAGGCTCTCTAACTATATATACCTTCTTCATGAAGTGCATTTTTTACATGGCAATTGATCTGTTTTTTATTAATTTCCCTTTTTTATTTATTCATTTCCCCTTTCTTACTTCCTTTCCAATTGCTACTGTGATATTAAAAGGTCTTTTGACAAACTGCAGTAAAAGGTTTATGTCCCGTTTTCATAATTTTTTTCAAATGTGTTCAAATGTACCAAGATAGGTCATTGCGTTTGACACGTTTCTGATAGCTTTATGCAATAGTGCTTGCTTCTTTCTTGTTTTGTATAGCCCTGAGGATCGAAATACTCCGAAACGTTGGTAAACAACCATGTTGTAAATTTCTTGTGTGAAACATTTTGAAGCGTGTGCGAAGCATCTGTAACGATTCTCAATTGTCTTTCGTCTTGACGACGTCTATATTTATTATTTACAAACAATAGTGTTACGATACTGACTGCAATCCATTTACTTTTCTACAAGTACAAGGTATTTCAAGTTCTTTGATATTTAATTTATATGCCTTTACTTGACGCATTACGTTTCGCTTTCGGCGTGTTAATAAATATATACGCAACATGGACGCAAGTTGATTCCCATACTCGTCTCTATGTCAAATTCGACTCGTGCGTTTATCAGCTGTTTCGCGCCCTTTGTTACGTTAATCACTATTTTGCTCCTTCGGCCCCCGTTAACCTGGCTTCTGAATTGAAGTTGAAATGAAACGGCTCACCCATGCCCACCACCAGCATGTTCCCTCGCGGCTGCGATATCACCCGCACTATTCGACAGATGTGCAGGATAGCGTCCTTGAACAAAACCAAGTCGATGGGAACGACGCCAGGGGATTCGTTGTATTCACCCATTTGGTGTTCGAGATGTTGCCGCAACTTGGGTATATCTTGAATGTCCTCGTATATCGCAAATGGATTCATAAAATCAACGAAAACAGGTGATTCTTTTTCTGGGCATACGCCATTAAACGTCAGCTCGAACTGGAGTCCTAATTGGGCACTCAAAGCTCCAAGAAACCATTCTTGATCTCTGAAAAAAAACACAAATCAAAATAAAAGGTACAGGTATCTTCGTGCAAATCCTAACGAGCCTATGTGGCCCACAGGGGAGAGGTGAAGGCAGGGCTCCACCAATTCGTCGCACGAGGAGGAGGTCGTATGGCGAACTCAACGCTTCGGCCGACTCTCGTCCAGGAAAGATCCTGGTACTCTCATTGAGAAGGTACTCGCACCTGGTACTCATTCTACTCCGTAGCGAGCAAGTAATAAATGGATTAAAACAATGTGGAAGGGACGCGATGTCTGACTCCACGCACTTCTCTCTTCCTATGGCTTTTTTCAGCAGACAGCGTTTTTTACCCTTTACGTCCCTATGGAAAGCATATTCGGTCCTTTGATCTGGGGTCAGCCGAACGCGAAGCCCCTCCACAACAACACACACACGAGAGACAAGGGACAAACAACCACGCCCCTGGCGGCTCCGGACCGAAGCGCTGAGTCGCTTCGCCCGTTCAGGTCGGCCACCTCGCACTCACTTGGCGTTGATCAGGCGGTCGTAAAACACTCGGAAGCACTCGTGGATCCACAATCTGAGCATCTGCTCCTTCGTGTATTGTTGTTTGTTGTTGCTACGTAGCAAACCTTGAAAAACCTAAAAGAACAAAAATTCGTGAAAATCGTAATATTAATGTAAATGCAATGCAATATTAATGTAAATGCAATGTAATATTAACGTAAAATAAAAAAGAGGCTATAAATGTTATGTAGTATGCGCAGTGATGACACTGTCATACTCACAAATTCTCTGGAAAATTCTGTTCCCAGAGGATAGATTCATAACCTGAATTCAAAGACGTTACATTTTACTATTGAATATAATAAATTATACTTCACTTACTTTAGAAATATCACGTAGATTAAATAAATAATGTATCTTATCAGGTGTGGGCAGCATGTTTGCTATAACAGCATTGTAAATATCAAGTGTAGCTTGTGTAATTTTTGGCCCAACATATTTTGCTTCGCTTTCAAAATCCGCCAACTGCTGCGTTAGCATTGTTCCAAAAATCCGAAGAATTTGGCCTTCGCTGGGGAACGTAATGTTGATGATGTTGAAGCACGTCATCAGTCTGTCTGTGATGACAGTGCGCCCTCCGCCAGGGGGGCCCATCGCCGCCATTAGGATCATTTCCTGAACAGAAGAGTCCAAACCCCTTTATTGCGCAGAGGGAGTACTGCAGAAATGCTTAAGAGAAGTTTCAAAAACTCCACGGAACATCAGAAACGACTAAATTTTAAAAGAATTATCTGTAGAACCTCTAAAACCTTGGATTCTTAAACTTTCTTCCCATTTCTACTCTTCATCTTTCATCTTGTCCAGCCACTTGTTTCTACACTTTAGTCTTCAGTCAATCTTTTTTCCACGAATCAAATCAAGACATTCCAAAGACGTACTACATCCTCCTTAATTAGCTCCGAAACAGGTTCATGTATCCCTTAATTTAAATGTATTGTGTAAATGTATTGTGTGCCCTAAATATTTTATATATTTTTCTGAACGAACCTTCCTTAGATTTTAGTTTCTACTAACACATAATCTTGTCGAACAAGGATATTTATTTTAATCGTATAGCTGCAGCTCTTTACTCATATTTTGACCATGGGAATAAGAACTGCAATTCTACACACTCTCTCCAAATTTCTAAAATAATAGGGAAGATAGGGGCTCGTTAGTACCAGTTGATAGTTTTTAATTATTTTACGCAACTCTTGTTTAGTTTGGACAAGACTGTTTGTGCAAATGGAAACTATATTCATTAGGCTACCTAACGGTCCTTTATTATTTGTGAATGACAGAGAACTTTTAGTTAAGTCATCGAGACAACGTGTGCCAATCACCCCCTCTTGCAGCACTGATCATCCACATTGTGGCTTGTGCCTTGCACTGAACGGTTGAAACTCTAGTGGAAAGATTTAGCTACATCTTATGGAATCAGCGAACCCATTATTGAACCATGAGTGCGTGCCAAGCAGTCCCTTCCGCCAACAACCTCATCTTCACAAATACAAAAGTAGAAAATTATTCTAAGCAAAGAAAAACTTAAACCGCTACAACTTTCAATTTTCTCGTATATGTGCCTGTTAAATGTGAAATTATGTTAAGTGAAATTATAAAATTTATATTGCAACTTTGAAAATTTTGGGGACTAATATGTTTGGCCCACTGTATCCGAGGTCAGAAGTAAGTAGAATTTCTTCACAATCATTGATTTTATTAATATAGAGATACAGATACAAAATTAATTAACAGTGCGAAGTGAAAATTTCAATATCTTTAGCTTATTTGTAACGTAAGTGAAATGGGACCAATTCACTACCTTAGAGTTCACTGTAACCGGAGTCGACTGTACTAGTTTAACCTGGCTCCTCCGACGGTGAGTACTTTCATATTGGCAGAATTCATGTGCCTTACAAGTTCATATTAATGAGAACACATTCAATTAAATGCGTTTTGAAGAAATCTTAAACAGGAGCGTGTAGAGTGTTTAAAAACTATAGGATTTTATATCAAACTATTTTCTCCACCAGTGGACAATACGCGTTTTCATTAGTTGCCCCTCATTTCGTCCCTCAATTTCCTGTGATGAATTTTCCGAGTCGCCACCAATCAAGGAGCTCACCTTGACGTACTTCCGGACCTGCTTCTTGCGGTCGTACCAGAAGCCGTAGCCGATCCACTGGCGAATCAGCTCGAGGGGTGGCTGCGCGCCGTAGATCTCCTTCACCGGCATATTCAGGTCGTCCAGGAAGGTGATCATCTTCTTGTCTGCAACACAACGGCCCTTCTGGAATGTGCCATTGAAATACTACTACTATATAAATAAAAGTTACTAGAAATGCTTCGATTGTGATTAATAAAAGATTCAAGGAACGTCCAGTCCTATTCGTGTTAGTATTGACACTTGCCCATATATATCATGGGAAATATTGAGTAAAATAATGATTTAATAGCTCATTTCGAAATATTGGTACCCTCTAACTCCAGGTGAGTGGTGGCCGGAGGTTGCAAATTAAGAGGGACGGCACATAAGCCCAAAATATCACAAACAATTCACCTCTTCAAAATATTTATTGAACGAGGAAAACTACAGCATGTAGTGTGCAACCGAATTGCACGCATCGTGAGATTAATCCTTGTCTAAGATAACTTTCACGTTAATAATAGAAGATACAATATTGTGTTCATGCGAAATTATGATTTAAAAAATATTTCCAGCAAAGAAAACAGTAATTTAGGAAATCAAATGGTGAGAGTCGGTATTTTTAGCTTAGTTAATAGCCATGGACTGTGCCTATCAAATCCCTAATAGGAGCACGCTGCCCCAATCCTACTCCCAGTACCCCCACTCTTCCTCATGCTTCCATTACCTCGCATGCAACAGCTAGGGACAGACTCGCGATAGTCCAAAAAACATTCCAAAAACATTTATCTTTCCCATAATCGGGCACATGAAACTAAATTCGTCTTCACAAATTACAATGGTGGTATACACAAATTAAACGGGTCGATTTATTGTAGTTTAATACTTGTTACAACTTACCACGATGTTGGCTTTTCTGGGAAGGGTTCCGCCCTACAGCCCATAAGAAGCTACCGCCACTGGTCCAAGGAATAAATTACAGGCATTACCAACAGAGAGAATCGGGGTAGGCTCCGATTCTCACCGGTTTTCTTTCTTATATTATTGCGATTTTGACGATATTGATAAATTAATAGTTGATATAACTAATAATAGATATTTCATTTAAACTGAAAATGTTATTCAATTTTAGGATCTCTAAATCAAAAACGGATTGACTTTCCCGCATCATTATACTATGTACTAATGACAAAATCTATTATATTTTATGTACAATAAAGGTCACTGTACATCCGTGATATTCCAATGTGTGAAACAATTTTCTACTACACGTATATTCAGAATGCTTTCTAAATGTTGAGTGTTCGCGTTAATAGTCTTGAAGTTGTACCTACAGTCAAAGCAAGGACGAATCCAGAAATTGTCTAGGAGGGGGGATTACCTTTTTTGTCTAACAAGACTTTGAAAAGATCATTACTTAATGATGTATTGTAAATTTAAAACTGTGTGGCGTTAGTTAAATAAAATATATAAAATCTATGAACAATTTGTATCAATTTTAAAGTATATTATGACTAAAATTAATTGAAATTTTACCCAAATTGTGAATAAATCTATTTATCTTGAGTTTGACAGTAGTGTATATTAAATAAAATAAGATAACAAAATAAAATATATTGTATGATAATATTATTCATACAATTAGAAATGTTTAAGAACTTTTGTCGACTACATTGTTTACAATTTACAATTCTTAGTTTTAACAACATACCAACTAATAACAATGAGTATCAGTGGTGTCTCCTGCCCAGTGAGCATAAGGATACAGTTAGTCTTACGGATTACACAAAGTAGAACAATAGGTGCCTAATCGACATCCTACTGTGTACTCCATATTACGATGCATATACAGTACCTAATGCAAATTCTTTGTGAATTGCTACTTTTGCTTTGTTTCCTTTGACAATAAATAATTCAACAATACACAAAAGTACGCTGGAACATGAATAATATATCTAACTTTAATTGAAAGTTAATTGCCCGTTATCTTCTATAGTACCTGAGAACTAAATAGAGTTCTTAAAACCCTTCATAAGACATTGGGAGTTTTCACTCACCGTTTCCTGCCTCGTACAACTCATCCACTTCTGCAAACCATCGGTTCGCCATGTCGCATCTTTTCGCATGAAAATTGTTGGCTTCTAATTCTAGCTTTTCAGTTGCAAAACTGTTATTTTTCTTATAACGCAGTTTTAAGAAAAACTCTGCAATTTCGCACCAACACACAGCCCAATACATAAAATGCACGTGAAAAAGCTTCAAAGAACTATTACAAGTCGCGTACGAGTTCCTTGTCAGAACTGAACTGTCTCGTAAATCACGTGGATCAGGACTGTTGGCAACCATGCGTGCGTGTGTCGTGTGGTCAAGAAGCTTCGCCCCCCCACCCCCACCCCGCTCAGGAGTCTTAAGCTTTAGCACAGCCTTTAGCACGTGACCACGGGGATTCCCAGACCTTGCACTGAAAGAGGAGGAGATGCAAAAGGGAGGCGATGACGAAACTTTGGGAAAGGGGATACAGAAGCAGCCAAGGGAACAGAGAAATACATTTAATAAAAGTGTTAAAAGAGCCAATTAACTTGGATATGCGACACATTACTGCCATCCATTGAGCCTACTCCACTGATATGAATCCTTAATAAAAAATAACATTGCTTACACCAAACGAAATATGAACTTAAAATTACAATAATAATTTTGTGTTAATCACATTTATATATTCATTCACCGGTCCAATTTAGAATATTTTAAATGAAAAGTAAGCTTCAAATTACTATGTCTTTTGCTCATTTATATTCAAATTCTGGATGTACAGTAATGTTTGTTTTTAATTATTGTATTATAGCTACCAATTTACTTAATAATTTGAAACTGTACCTGATGATGAATTCATATTTGGGCTCCAAAAAGTATTAAATAATGGGAAATTTAGAAAATTGATTGTCTAAAAATAAATTTGCAAATATACTTCAAGAAAAATAAAGTACAATAATTACATATTAAGAGTTGATTCTCAAAGTTTTGTCGGAATGGTAAATTTACCACTATTTTTGTTTCTTCTAAAGTCGAATGAAATCATGAAACTTGTATAAAATCCCCACTCCAAAAACTAATCCGTGGATCCGATCTTCAGTCAATGACGATATAAGAATTAATATTCTATCAATCACTTGGAATAAATTGCATCGAATTTTAAATGAAAAGCACAGTATAAACAATATCAATTTTTTCAGAGTTAAAAATTGAATTATAGAAAAGAACAATTTCGTTGGGCCTCTGAGCCTTTTCCCTTGGTGCAGATACTTTTTATTAAATATATTTCCGGCACAAACTGCGAGTCAATGGTGGCTACAATAGTAAATGTTATTTGCTTAGAGTTATTACATCGAGCAGTGTGTATAAAGTGGATATACAGATTGTATAGAGCAAGGGTTTATAAAGAAATATAGATGGGAAAATTTAACTTTGATTATTCTAGTTTATAAAAGTTTTCAGATTGAATTGCCATTAAGTATGGTTTTTAGATACTAATGAACCTTGGAGAAAATATTAAAGAAATTAGAAAGGTAATTATTTTGCAAAATCGGGCGCTGGTTATTTAATATAGTATTGTTTTGCATATAAAACTTGTATTGGTCTAATGTAAGAAAGTGTAGGTTTTTCCATGTCTAATGAAAAATGATCGAATTGTTATTAATAAACGATTCAAGCAACATCTACTTATTTTCGTGTTAATATAAAGATGTAAAAGAACAAATGACTTACCTCCAGGAGGCACAAACACACTTTTAGTGCGTTTCTCGACACGGCTTTCAATTATATCCTGTACGTTTGCCGCGGTTGTCTAGAGAAGAATTTACATATATTAGACAAATAGTGTCACAGATCAACAAAAGTCATTGTAAGTTCTCATTATATTAGTTAAACTTTTTCTATTAGTTGAGTAATTATGAGAGGTTTTAAAATAGAAAATGCTATTGGCCAACTATTACTAAATGAACAGTATAAAAAATCAGTTCCACACCTGAGCTGACATATTGACACTGAGTGTTGTGTACTTAAGTGAATCCAGAGATCCTAAGACTGATGAAATAATAGACGTTTTGCCTGGAAAATAGGAATGGTATGTTAAAAAAGAGAAAAGAAGTCCATTCAGTTAAAACAAGAATAATATACCATCACATTTTCAGTATATGTTTATTTATTTTGTATTAGGATCATTTTAAAAATGCCCGTTTTCCAGATTTTGGCCTCTAATTTGAGTCAAAGTTTTATCTCGACCTTATCTTGAGGCGGATCATTAGAAATAATGTCCTGTGCTCGAAATAATATTTTCTTAATGCTTTCATTTTTTAATTTACCTCATTATTGGTGTCACAGAAGTCACCCTGAAAAGTGTCTTTGCAGAAAAGGTGATAAAAATACCCCCTAACAGAATAAAGTAAAGCGTATTGAACAATGATTCTCTTTGAAAATAAAATTATTGCAATGTATTGTAACAAAAACTATAAAAGTATTTAGCTTTATTAATACTCGTATGAGAAAGAAAATACATTTAATTAATTTTCCTGTGATACATATAATTTGGATGAATATTTATAATTAACTTAAAATAAACTGGAAATATTTTACCTATGTTTTTTTAAATACTTCTCTTAGTCGGAAAAGAGAAAATATGTTATGTTTTATGAACGTTTGTAAGGGTACGGAGCATAGGAGTTTGTTGAGGTGATAAATTAGTTGAAGATTAGTTTATTTATTATATCAAATAATTTTTAAATGTCAATTCGAATTTTTTGAGCCGACGGAATATTATAATCTTAAAAAACGTTATACATTTGTTTAATATTTCCCCCAAAAGCAAATAGTTATATTGTCCATACGATAGGTCAAACTAATCGATATTTATTTTTAAATTTAATAACTATTTTTTTCTTCATAAGTTAACATAATTTTCGTTGAATGTATCGATGGCTGGCCACATCACGGCTGATTAAGCGTCTCACGAGTGTTACCACTATAATTGTCATGATAGAACGCCAAAAAGCGATGAAGTGCACAATGTAACTATCAGAGTAAATCTTGAAAGTGGTCCCCGTGAGATCTTTGAGCGAAAGACAAACGATCGACGGCTCCTGCACTTG